TTTTTTGCCTCTTCATATTTCTAAAGCAAAAAAATGAAATTGTAGCAGGTGCCAATTATATCATATATCCTGGGGATAAAGAAACGCTTACTAATAATTTATAAATATGTATTCCTTTGCAAGTTAGCAGTAATTGTTAGCAATCTCTAGAACAGTGATCCTCAGCTTGTTGGCTCTGAAGAGCATGTCAAAAATAATAAAATATTCAGAACTCTACTTCATATTTCTTATAATTGGGAAATATGTTTGGCTGAATAATTCGTATGTTATAGCTCTTTTGTTATACAATAGGAAATAAATCCCCTCCCCCCTGCATTGCTTTAGTGTGGTAGTTTCAAAAAGTCTGTGAAAAAAACAATTAAAAGATAATAGAATTTTCCCATGAACTTTTTGAAGTTCTCTTGTAGGAGGGTTTGTAAAAAAAATTGCTATAAAAATCACCCAAATATGTATAAAACAAAAATCTCAAAATATGAAGCTATTGTTTCTCAACATGTCTTTCATCTCTCTGACCCTTCCCCAAAGAATTCTGCACTCTACGATTTACACCACGTCAAAATGGCAATTTTGTTATCCTCAAGGGATTCAAATTGTGTTACTTTAAATGTTCTTTGAGTTTTAGGGAAAAAAAGTCCGAAGTGAGAAGATCAGGGCTATAAGGCGCTTGGGGATAATTCCCAGCAGCATTTTCATAGGATAAGACTGTGCCTGCCTGCCTGCCTGCCACCCCTGGAGAAAGAGACAGTGCATTGTTTTGATGGAACAATGCTGTGTGGGCACTTTCTTGGTTATTTTCTCACCAGTGCACTTTTAACTTTCTTGTATCATCTCATGTCAGTCCCTGTGATTGTCCTGTTTTCTTTGAGGAAATCTATCAAGTTTTCCCCTTTGGGATCCAAGAAAACAGGTACCAGACTTTCAGAAGTGACCTCTGTTCCTTGAATTTAACTGGCCCAGCCCATTCCCTTGGAAACCGAGACATCGATCGGATCTTGCTCTCTGGATGGTATTAGCAAGTTCAAAACTTGCCCTCAGTCATGATTTATTTCATAAAATCACCGTCATTAGTTTTGATCTTGCTTAAAAGACCGATAGAAGGATCAGTTTTTTGTGACAGCTGATCTTCACACATTGTTTTTGGCATTGACTTTAAACTTGAAATGCCAAAGCACATGAGATTCCCAACTTGAGTCACTGTAGCATCCATGGTAATTCTGCGGTTCTCGTTCACATTTCTGGACTTCTGGACGGTTTCTTCCTTCCTGGAAGTTGGCGGTCTGCTGTCTCTTTGAGGCCTTCCTGACCTTCCTGAAAGTACTTGATCCATCAAAGAATTCTTATTTTGCGTGGTATTCCCATGAACTTGTACGTTTCAGTCATTTGGGGAGACCTCCACTCGAATTTTGTTTAAAATTTGATATTGGCAGTACCTCCCATTTTTTTTAATGTGTGACACGAAAAGTATTATTATTATTATTGAAAGTACTTTAAAAAATTAAGATGCATATAATCCTGTGAGAACTTATCCACAGTCATCCACTGAAGACAAAGACATATTTAAATACGTTTATTTGTTATTATTTTTTAATCAGTGTGTGTATGAACTGGAACCTTGTAGCAGTGCCCTCCAACCTACCCTTGTCTGTGTGTACATGTAACTGGTTCACATGCCAGCCCTGCTGGCACTGGTGGGCTGCTGACTGCAGTGTCTGCTGTTCAAACCCCTCCTCGAGAGAGAGGTGGGGCAATCTGCTGCCTTAGAGATTTGCAGTTGTGGGAACCATAGGGAACAGGCCTCCATTCTACATAGGGTTGCTATGAGTCAGAATAACACACTCCGTGGCAGTGTGTTATTAGGTGTTGCTGTTCTTTGATAATACATTTTTATAACCATGTTATTACATTGTCTTAACCAAGGATCTAGATATTCCTATTTTGTGTTTTTTGTACCAATTAGAGGTTGACCCTTTGGCCAAAAATGGCTTGTCAGTTAAAATAGTTTTTACAGTCTTGAAAGTTTGCTAGAATAAAGCAAACAAAACTGTGAGATTGAGACTTCTATAATCTATAAAACCTAAGATATTTACAATCTGGCTCTTTTCAGGAAAGAATTACTGACAGCTGTTATAAAGGGTTGAGTTAGTTAATTGTGCCAACCTGGCCGATAATCACATGTGGGGCTAATTGAAAGGGGGAGGGATAAATGGGTGGTGAGCCTCGCCTTTCTAGTTCTCGGGTCTCTTGCTTTGTGATGGTCGCACCAGGGTGCAGCTGCCTTAGCAGTTCCCTGCTTCAGCTTGCAAGATTGACTTCCTACAAGACATCCCCAAGGAGAAGCCACATGGACCTATCCCGATGCAGCCCTGGGTGCTGGAGCAGCCGTGTGGAGACCCCTGCTAGTGCTGAGATGCTTGTTCGTTCACTGACTCAGCTTTCCTCCTGCAGTCGGCATCATTGCCTCTGTTTTGTGAGGTGGAGGACTTTGTGGACTGGTGTTGGGTTAATGGGTTAATGTTGGACTTGTGGGCTTGGGCAGCATTGGGTTGGGATGTTTTCGTGATGCACACTTTCTTTACATAAAACTCTCTTATGCATGAGTTGCTGTGGATTTGTTTCTATAAAGTACCTAGACTAATACAAGGGTGAAATGGATAGGAGTGGGCTGTGAATAGTGTGGTTTTATTACAACGCTTTTAAAAACTCATATATCATTGATTAAAGTTCTTAATCAATGTGCAGAACAGGCTTTAGCTTCAAGGATCGATCACGATGGAGCTAAGTCATAAAATATAAGTGCCTCCCCTCCCTTCACCCTGTACACACACACACACACACACACACACACACACACACACATTCCTTTAATAAGTTTTGTTTTTTGTCCTGCAACGGACAGGAAGAACACATAAATAAAACTTATACACGAAAATTTTCATTGCTAACTGACTAAATCACTTATACATGGGGTGTGTGTGTGTGATTTTTTTTTACTTTATGTATTATGAAATCTATAATTGGGTGTTCTTAGATCCCGAACCTTTACCTTTGATTTTTAGGAGAAATTGTGTGATGGTTGTACATTCAAAGTTTATATTCTGGAAAGTGGCTGGAATGGCAGCCCCCCACGTCCCCAAACAGTATCTTAAGCTCCTTTTTCTGATGTCTGTTGCTTGCTCTGTGGGATTGTTGGGAAGATTATGTCAACGAGGAGCAGGAGCCTGAAAGCAGGAGGCCACGCGCTAACAACTTGCTCCTTTTTTCTCCTCCTGGCTCTCTCTCCCTTTCGTTATGCTAAATTATATTCACAAGTTATAAAAAGTTATCTTTTAATTGTAATTTATGATCATTGAGACGGTTTTCCTGAATTAAGGTATTTAAACAATTGTTATTTACAACACAATTGTTATTTACAATATTTACCCTTTTGCCAGCCCCAAATATTGAGTTAATCGATTACATGCTTTGAATGACATTAGCAAGCCAAGTAACCACCATAAGGAAGCCTTTTATTTTCTTTCTCTAATTATACTTTTATAGAATCGTGATATAAAAATACGCAAGGTTGAAATCAGTGGCTTATGTTACTTTCTGTTTTGTGTTTTTAGTGCCTGGTTGTTGCCAACGGTGGTCTGGGTAATGGTGTGAGTAGGAGCCAAGTGCTCCCAGTTTTGGAGCAATGTGGACTTGTGGATGCTCTCTTAATGCCACCCAATAAGCCCTACTCATTTGTAAGATACAAAACTACTGAAGAATCCAAGAAAGCCTACCATACTCTCAATGGAAAAGAGATAGTGGATGATTTGGGACAGAAGATCATTCTGTACCTGAATTTTGTGGAAAAAGGTATGTGGCTACTTACTTTCTTATTTACTTATATTTACATTTTATTGTGCTAAAATGTATATAGCAGAACAGCTGTTGTTTCAACTGTTTTTGCATGTACGGTTCGGTGACATGAATGATCTTCAGCATGTTGTGCAATCCTCATCTGTCCGTTTCATCATCCTTAACGGAAACCCAGTGCACCTTAGTAGTAACTTCCCATTGCCCCTTTGTGCCCCACTGGTGGGGGTGGTAGGTGCCAAGTGGGCTTCCACTCTCAGACCCAATGTACAACAGAATGAAACACGGCCTGTCCTGTGCCATCCTCAGCCATTCCTATGCTAGAGGCCACTGTTGCAGTCCCTGGTAGAATCCATCTCATGGAAGCTCCTCTTCTTCACCACCTTTTTTCCTTAGTAAGCATGATGGCCTCCTTCAGGGACTGCTTGCTCCTGATAACATGTCCCAGGTGCATAAGATGGATTCTCACCATCCTCTGTTCTGAGGGGCATTCTGGCTGTCCTTCTGAGAAGATTTGTTCATTCTTCGGACAATCCCCGGTGCATTTGATATTCTTGGCCACATCCTAATTCAGAGGTGTCAATTCTTTGATCTTCCTTATTCAAAGAGGTGATGGAAAATACCATGGCTAGGGTCAGGCACACCTCAGTCCTCAAAGTGACATCTTGGCGTTTTTGACACTTAAAATGCTTCCATAGCTTTTCCCCAGTCGTATTTGAGTGCCTTCCAACCTGGAGGTTCATCTTTATCAGGCAATGTTCTGTTGCTATTCATCAGGTTGCACTCGCTATTGTTTTTCGAAGAAGACTATTCAGTCCTTCCCTAATGTCTCTTCTGGAAGCTCTGCAGAAGGTGGGTGGCCCTGCTGGTACTGGAAATACCAGTGGCCTAGCTTCTAGTATCACAACACTATGCATGCCACCCCAGGACAAGTACTGGTAGCCACTAATACATTTTGGTCTGCATGCCTGTCTGTATTTCAAATATTTCATTTTAGTGAGATCAGACAGTGCCAGGTTTGTTTTTGTGTCTGACTTCTTTCACTAACAGTAACTTGATGGCAATGTGTGTGTGAATAATGGGTATCTTTTAAAAAAATGATTTTTTCTTTTGGGTGAGTTTTCTTTTATAGATACAAAGGTTTTTAAAAAAATCATTTTATTGGGGGCTCATACAACTTATCACAATCCATACATACATCAATTGTGTAAAGCATATTTGTATATTCATTACCCTCATCATTCTCAAAACATTTGCTCTCCACTTAAGCCCCCGGCATTAGGTCCTCATTTTCCCCCCTCCCTCCCTGTTCCCCCCTCCCTCATGAACCCTTCATAATTTATAAATTATTATTTTGTCATATCTTACATTGTCCGATGTCTTCCTTCACCTATTTTTCTGTTGTCTGTCCCCCGGGGGTGGGGGTGGGGGGAGGTTATATGTAGATCCAAGTTTAAGAGTTCATTCTTGTGAAATAAAAAAGACACTCTTTTTCTTGAACAAATATTATTAAGCATCGAGATTGTAAATCTTCATGGTATTAGAAAGCCTCTTCTTTCTCCCATGGAAAAAGCAGATTCACAAACTCCCATATTTTATGTGTTTCTAATCAATTTTGAAAACTGAATAGTTTAAGAGTGTTTTAATCAGAAAGTGCAATCTTGAGTCTAATCCTCTATATGTTGGACACATTATAAGGAATTATACAAAGTGAATTTTCTAGTGTTTTTTCTTTGAATTCTATAGTAGATCCAGAAGTATAGGTCTTAAACTTTCGGTGCTCACTTTTGCAATATTGCAAATTGTTTAAAGTTGAGAATAGAGCAGTGTCACAAGCCTTTTGATACTTGTGAGTAGCAGATTAGTTGATAATCACTGAATTAACACAGGCAGGCATTTATATATTTTTTTTAAAGAGCTGATATGTGTGTGTCTGATACAGTCTTCATAAGAACACTAAATTACCTTCTAATGTAAATTAGCTGTCTTTGAGTAATACTCTTTAAAATTTTTTCTTATGTAATTTGAAGGAAGAATATATAGGCATACTATGGGTATTGTGAGAAACTTTCTTAATAAGATTTGAAAAGTAACTCATTTATTTGTGAACAGAATACTTAAAGACGGATCTATATTACGGTCCTGTTTACAGTTGGTAATTGCAGTAGACAAAATGGCATACATTTTCTCTTTGGTGTTTCATTTTGCCTTTTAAGAGTGTTGTGTGCTTTTAGAATCCTTATTTCTGAAAGTGAGGACGTACACCTTATACTGCTGTATGCCATTTGCTTTCACTGCCATTGAGACAATTCTGCCTCATAGCAACCGCCTGGGACAGGGTCAGAAGGCCCCTGTGCTTTCCCAAGGTTGTAACCCATTCACAGGAATAGAAAGCCTCCTTTTCCTCCTGTGAACAGCTGATGCTTTCTACTGCTGACCTGACAGGTAAGGGGCCCGGTGCAGAACCACTAAGCCAGCAGGGTTCCTGTCGTACTACATATAGCAACCTTCATTATTATACGTGACGATTTTAATTTCGTGTCCTACAGTACAGTGGAAAGAAATGGGACTTCAGGTCTTACCTCCAGGACTTATGGTTGTGGAAGACATTATTTCTTCTGAGGATGAGAAAATGTTTTTGGAAAGCATTAATTGGACAGAAAGTACAGATAATCAAAATGGTAAGTAAAACTTTTCAGATCTGTTACTTAAAAATTTCTGCAAAGTGCCATCTCCCTGCTTCTCCCCCTCCCCTTCCCTTTTTAGTTTGTGAAACTGTTAGTATTTCCTCAAAATTACCAAAAGCACCCTGGCTCCCATGTTAGGCAAGACATACCAGCAATTCTTAGGGGCACTGATACTAACAGCTATACAGTTAGTTATCAGTTTTAAACTCCAAACAGATTGATGCTGATTTACCCACATTTATTTAGGTAGCATTTACAGATCTCTTCACGGGTATTACCTTATCCAAATGACTCTCTCGTAAGGCACATATTTCTGTAAGGAAACATGTTTTTATACTATACCATTATAATTAGAAAGAGCCCTCTGGAACTATGCAAAGTATAATGAAAACTTTTGTTGTAAATAAAATCTCCTCTTAATCTTAGTGGGATCTGTTATGCTCATAGCATTTTATTATGATAAAATCATTAACAATCTTGTGAGTGCCCTACATATAAGCCATATTTACATATTAAGTAGGCTTATTAATAATTTAACATACTCAATATGTAAATTGTATTTGGCTCTTCCATGTAGAATGGGTGAGACCCTTTAAGTGCTGGTTCGAATATCTCTATGGAAACCAACTGTCATGTTTTGCACTAGTTCTAAGTGCACTCACCTTCCCATTTATAGGCCTGCGCTGAATCCCAGTACTTCCAGGTCCCTCAATGTGTGGCTGTCAGAAACTCAGATATATGGCAAAATAGTTCTTTTATTAAAAGCAGTAATCTAGCAATTAACGGAAGTTACTATTACTAAACTGATCCTGAATGTTGACTTCGAAATGTATGTAAGAACTCAATCCTGTCTCTCTCAGATAGTTAATATCTCTCACACATATTTTCTTTTCATTATACAGTTCAAAAATCTTTAAGGCATAGAAGAGTAAAGCATTTTGGCTATGAATTCCACTATGAGACCAACAGTGTGGATAAAAGCAAGCCATTACCTGGGGGTAAGTAATTATTCTTAAAAACACCTATTGGTTTACATATAAAAAGACTTAATACATCAGAATTATACCATAATGTAAGTTGAGGGAGTATGTTTTATTTGTAATTTATGGTTAGACTTTCAAAATTGTTGATTAAACCATTTTATTAGGCAAATGATACAATGCTATTATTAAATTCAAGCGTACAGATGAAGCTAAAGTTCTTCTTGAACATTATTACCCTGCATTTCATACTTCTCAAAAGTAAGTACTGTTAATGGTTTTTTTCATATCCTTGCAGTTCGTAAAAAAATAACATATCAAGATATCTTTATAAAAACTTTATACGTATAGAAACCTTGGTATAAACTAATTTGTAGTATTATAAAGTAAGTTGTAGTATTATATGGTATATCGAACCAAACTCACTGCCATTGACTTGGTTGTGACTCGCTGCAGCCCTGTAGGGTAGGCTAGAACTACCCCTGGGTTTCTGAGACTTACTCTTCACCTGAGTAGGAAAGGTCATCTTTCCCCCACAGAGCAGTGGGTGGTTTCCACCTGCTCCCGCATCATTAGCAACGTGTAATTCCAGCCACTCGGGCTCCGTCATATGGCATATGTTGTGTGTATTATATGTGGCACTGTAGCCTCTTGCCCTCCAGGATAAATCCTAGAGATCTTTATATAGGTTTTCATTATAGTGAATGCCCCATAGTAACTTATTCAGCTAGTTAGTTCGCTATTGATAGGCATTTAGTAATTTCTTAGTTTTCAGCCTTTACAAGTGTTGTTGCCTGTATATATCTTTTTATCCGCTTGGTTATGCACTGTGCAAGAGTTTCTCAGGGTGGACTCTGAAGAAGTGAAGGTGGTGTGAAAGGCCGTGTTCATTTAAGATTTGAATAGATATGCACAGCTTGCCTCTAAAATAGCTGTGCAAACATACACTAACCAAGTATGCGCCCTTCCACTCATCTCCTGCCTACCTGTAATGCTTTACTTTTAATTAGTACTTTATTATGTTATGAATGGTGGTGAAGTGGATACATGTTGGGTTGCTGTCTGCATGGTTGGCAGTTCGAAACCACCAGGAGCTCCACTGGAGAAAGACTTGGCTGTCTACTCCTGTAAAGTTACACTCTCAGAAACCCACAGTGGGTTGCTAGAAGTCCGCATTGACTTGATGGCAATGAGAGTGAGCTATTATGTTGTTATTTGTATTTCCTCTATTGTGAATTCATTTTCATATCTTTTGCCAGTTTTTTTCTATTGGATTGTGTAATTAATTTCTAAGGAGATACTAATTTATTATATTAATATTAATTTTTTTAATATTAATTTTTTAAAGAATTTACTTTTTAATTGAGATTCACACATAAGTCATTCCATAGTTCAATCATATCCAGCAGAACTGTACATTTGCTGCCACAATCAGCTTTCATAGTCTTTTTCTATATGCGCCCCTTGACATCATCACCCCTTCACCTCACCACTGCCTCTGTGTCACCCTCCTCCCCAAACCCTTATTCCACTTGCTGACTCTGCAGGTTCATCAGTCCTGGTTGTCATACCCCCCAAACGACAAAACACATACCACAACTGCAAGAGGATGAGCACCACCCCCACCCCCCCTCCCCCCGACATAACACTCCCAAGAAAGATGTCTTTTTGGTTTTAATTAACTTTTAACTGCTTTTGTTTTAAATGGCTTTTTGGTTTAATGGCTCATAAAATAACATTTATAACTGAAAAAGTTAAGTTCTACTTTAAATGTGTGTGGTATTGTTAGGAAAATAAAGTTATTGATAATAAGTGGTCATATAAAAGGATAAAAATGAAAGTAGTCAGACTAAGCTCTTGTACATAACCTACTAAGTTTTACAATTCATTGCTATTTTACAAAATACCAACTTTGTTGTCAGTAAAATTATTCTTTAGAATTTTTATTGATGAAATCAGTGAAATAACTTTAAAAGAGGCTTGAGGCTTTGCTTTTATTTTGTTTTGCTGTGTGTTCTTAAATGCATTAATGGATCTAAGTGCTAAATTAAAAACTGTGATTTTTATCAAAATGATTGTTTTATTTTTGTGCCAAATACACAAATTAAATAGTTTAATGTTTTGTCTTTATGATTGCTGGCTTAGGTCTTCCTGAGATCTGTAATGGCATTTTGGAGAAATGGTTGAAAGAAGGTTACATTAAACATAAACCTGATCAGTTGACCATAAACCAGTATGAGCCTGGCCATGGTGAGTATTTCTTGTTTTAAAATTCCATTCTGATGGGTAGTTCACAATTACGTGGATTTCGTAACACTCTTAGGAGCAAAAATCCTTTTGTTGTGTTTTTTGTTTTTAGCTCAAATTGATTTCTTAGAGTAATTCACTTATATTTGAAATCTGTGTTAACATTAATTCCTTGCAAATCTATACTTCAAAGCCCTCAGGGGTCATTTGCATCTGTGTTAGACAGGGTTCTCTAGAGAGATAAAACCAAATTCCTGATAATTAAATATATTTATTTATAAAGATAATTAGATATATAACAAGAAATGAACTGTTAAATTATATACAGATAAATATAACAAGTGAACAGTTAAATTATAAGCACTACAAATGACTCAGGGTTGTGAGAGACTAGCAGTCCTTCTCTCTTTCTGCTGCCAGATCCCCTTTATAGAGTGAGGCTATCTCAGCACAGCAGCCAATCACAAGGCAGATCATCAGCTGTCAACTGCCAGTCCCCAGCTCCGGAGATGCCTTAAAGGGACCTCAACTTACAGGGACACAGTCCACAGGCTAGGCGTCCAACAGGTAGTGTAGCCTATAAATTGAGGCAAAGAACGAGCAAGGTAGCCGCACACTGGTCCGATGATCAAAGAGCAAGAGACAAGAAAGATGAGGCTCACTGAGCCATTATCTCTCCGCCCTTCAGTTAATCCTACTTGTATTTATCAGCCAGGCTGGCATAATAAACTATATCAGCATCATAAATGACACAGATAACTATGATATTTTTGGTTTCTGGTTCTTCTATCAGTGCCATATTTAAAGAGAGGGAGATGATTGCTTGGAATCACACACGATAGAAGAAATGAAATAATGCACAGATCGGTGTAGAAGGAAACTATTGGTTGAATTTGTCCTTTTTTCTCTTGTGTATATGAGAACGTGGAAGATATAACTGTAGTGCTGTTAGTGAAACATCTGTAGTTTATTGATACTTTGTACTTGTTAGCAACATCTTCATCTGACATTTGTAGTAATCAAATGGTTTGAAGAGTTTTATCCATGCTGAGTTAAGAGTTTTGTTTTGTGCATTTACCACAACATATTGTAATTGCTTATTGATTCAACTACCCTTCCTTTAGTTTGTAAGCGCGCCCGAAGGTAAAGGAGATGTCTTACGTGGTACCCTTACCTTGTAGCCAAGTTCCCTTAAGAGGTGTTTATTAACAAACACTGGCTGACAGATTGCCTGAGGAAGCCGTATCTTAATTGTTGATCTGCTTAATCTTTACACCTGGCAATTGTTTAGGTTCTGCAAATCTTTAACAATCCAGTGCTCAAGAGAAAACCATCACTTTGGCATGTATCTTCCACATCTTCCACTTGGGGTGGGATTGGATGAGGGTCCTACTTACGCAAGAACTCAAGACTGGAATTTCAAATCAAGCCTTGTTGGCACTTTAACTTACAGTGAAGATATTTTTCATGGTTATGTTGGTTAATTTTAGCCACATTCTCCCATAGAGGTTTCCTTTTGACTAAAATTTTAGTACCTTCCTGATTCCCAAACTATTTCCACCATAGTCTTGTGAAACTATTTTTAGACTCCTAAGTTCTTTCAAAGGAGAAATGAAGTGACTTGGTGTCCTCTTTTCTATCTCAGGAATTCCTGCTCATATTGACACACATTCTGCTTTCGAAGATGAGATCATTTCACTCAGTTTGGGCGCAGAGGTAAATATTCAGACATTCTTATTAACTACCAACCTGTCTTGTACCTTGTCCATTGTCTTTTTCTTTAAGATTTTATGTCTAATTAAAATGAATTATAATTTTAAATGAAAAGTGAGGGCACCATCATCACTTTTATCTTTTAAAAAAATGATTTTACTGGGACCTCTTACAGCTCTTATAACAATGCATGCATCAATTGTATCAAGCACATTTATTGCTATCAGCATTTTCAAAAGATTTTCCTCCTATTTGAGCCCTTGGTATGATTTCCTCTTTTCCTCCTCCTTCTCCGACCCTTCCACCCTGGTGAACCCTTGATAAATTATAAATTATTATTTTTACACCTACTGCTGTCTCCCTTTACCCATGATTCTGTTGTTCTTCTCCTGGGGGAGGTGGTGGTGGGGTTATATGTCAATCATTGAGATCAGTTTTCCCTATTCTCCCCTCACCCTCCTCTGGTCCTCCTCCTATCGCTATTCCCATTTACTGAAGGGATATCTGTCCTGGATTCTGTGTGTCGGGAGCTCTTGTTTGTACCAGTGTTCATGCTCCAGTCTAGCCAGATTTGTAAGGTAGAGCTGGGATCATGATATTGGGGG